GCGGCGGACACTGTTTTGTAAAACTCCTGGATTTCGTACGTCAGGTGTAAATGTTCCCGGTAACTATGGCCGCACTTGCGACAAAATTCTGACCCGGTAAACTTGCCCAACACTGAGTCAGCCTGTTTCAAAATGCTATTGGTGACCGCTGTTGAGTGCGGGTGTTTAAATTTATCACGGTAATGATCTTTGCCGCCGTGTTTGTTGAAAGCATTACACCCGAGCAAACCTCTATTGCCCACAATACTACCATCATTGAAATTTAAATAACATGGTGAATGACATGGCGTGGAGTATTTTGCGCTCGTTACGCCATTAAGCACCATGGTAGTTTTGCATCCGTCAACGCCGCACACAGTCATTGGCTGACTTAATGGTATGGATTTTAATTCAATAACAGGTAGTTTACACTCTCTTTCCAACACATGTTTGGTTTGAGTGTTATATGTTTGGCATTGGTTTATGTTATCCGCGATATTCTTCGTGATGTCGGCCAACGGTTTGGTTAGTAATTGTATGATTTGTTTGGCGTTATTGAGGGATAGTGTGTCCATCACTTGGTGTGCCGGCAGTTGTGTTATGTAATTGAATAGTCGCTGACATTCGGTGACAGATCTGTTAAAATTAAAAACATATTTAGTTTAATTGTTATATTATTATATTATTTAAAGATAACACAAACCGATCCCAACTTTCATTATAAATTGACTTAAATCTCGGGTCAAATTCAATATTATTTGGCAGAACCGAAGCCACGAGATATCGAAAGGACTCGGAATCGAAACAATAGATTGTATTCTTGTTATAATGGATGTCAACATTTGGAGGGTTTGTCTTCATTTTGGATAATATGTTCAGTAAAGCGGGTCCGGATTCCCCGGGCATATAGTGAGTGCTCCGGGAGTTTGTGAACAGAAATAGTATATTATTTGCGGCGCTTTTATTCAAATGAGTGAACAATTGAATCAAACAATACTTAAACAGTACATCAATTCTCGCTTCGTTTGGCTTTAAAAGCACACAAAAGGCATTAATTTCTTTATAATTGCTAATAAAGTCTAATATATTTTGCATATTTTCATTGTCCTGATCCACACCATCCGTGTCCCCAATTCCCGGCGTATCGATTATATTGAGCACAATGTCGTCGTTTTGAAATTTATAACATTTTGGGTATTGTGTGGCTGACAATGTCGTATCACTAGACCTTTCATTTACATCTTGTTCACCGAGTGTTACCTTAATGGGTAACCCTGTCGTTGGGTCACTCAATGTAAAACTAACCGGAATTAAACATATGGGCTGACCATTGGCCGCATTGAGACTTTCAAATGACAAATAATTGACGAATGCGTTAATGAATGTGGACTTTCCCACACCTGACTCTCCCAACAATACTATTGTTATCTCTTTTTTCTAGATTTGTAGTAAGATAATTAAAAATATTAAAATCTATATAATATAATAATTATAGATTATTACCCTAGACGTTTGGCTAGCTTTAACATATTTAACACGATCATTTGATATAATTTCCATTCTACCATTTGATAATGCTGGTTTTGGCGGTACATTTGGGCGATCAATATTTGCATAGATGGATAAAATAGGCATTGTTTTTATATTTTGCCTAGGTTGTGGAACCGGGTTTTCCATACTGTCATTAGCTTTTAAAATGCATTAATAAATATTGAATTAGTTGACTATTGTTTAATAAAGCTAGTATATTTATAAATATTAAATAACTGTAATAGTTTATTATTTACATAAACATAATTTAATATGCAACCATTTGAATTTTCAGTTAATTTATATTTATTGTTAGTTTTAGTTGTTTTACCATGGTAATTTTCTTTAGGTTGAATTATATTTAGGCGTCTAGATTTGTGCCAGTATAATCACGGGAATATTTATTATGATCAATTCATAAAAAAATAATTTTAATCATATTTTTAAATAAAAGTTTTTACTGACAATTGAGATTACCTGGGCTTTGGTGATGGTATAGAATGGTCACTTGAATCAAACTGCCCAACTGATAGGTTGTCAATAAATGATGTATGTGGGTAATTATTGGCCAGTTCATCTAGATTCTTATTTATTAATTGATCTATGTTATTTGACATTATTTAAAAATAAAAACAATTATTTATGTTTATTTTTATTAATATTATAAATGATTTTCATATTATGGCTCACAATATATATGTATACTATAATATAAAGATATACAAAATTAATATTCATAAACAATAATTATAAAACAAAATAATTTTAATTGTAATATTTAAGTGTAATATTAAAAACATTTATGTTAGAAATATGGTATATTATAA